CATATGTATACCTGTTACTTTTTTTTCTTTTGGCCTAACACAGGGTTTCTTAACCTTGGCACTACTGACATTTTGGGCCTGATAATTATTTTTTGTGGGGGGCTGTCCTGAGATTTGTAGAATGTATAGCAGTGTGTCAGTCAGGGTTCTTCAGAACCAAAATATATATATGCACATACACACACATATATACAGAGACAGGAGGGAAGAAGGGAGATTATTTTTAAAGAACTGGGTCACATGATTGTGGTGCCTGGCAAGTCTGAAATTTGTAGGGCAGGCTGGCAGCCTGGAAACTCAGGCATATTTCAGAGGAAATCTAAGCAACGGTATTGAGGCAGAATTACTCCTTCTCCGAGAACTCAACAGTTTTTGCTCTTCAGGCCTTCAATTGATTGGATGAGGTTCACTAGTATTATTGTGGGTCATCTCCTTTACGTAAAGTCAGCTGATTATAAATGTTGATCACATCTATATAAGACCTTCACAGCAACTTTTTCTCTAGTGTTTGACCAAACAATTGGGTGTCATAGCTCTAGCCAAACTGACACATGAAATTAACCATCACAAGCAGCAGCCCTGGTCTCTACTTACTGTTTGTCCATAGCAGCCTCCCACTTCTCCAGTTGGGATAGCCAAAAATGTCTTCAGGCCGTACCAAATGTCCCCATGGGTGGGGTGTGTAGTGAAGGGGGGAGTATTACCCCCCTCCCCACCTCTGCTTGAGAACCATTAACCTAACATATCTTGACTGTTTTAGATAGCCTTCATTTTATTATTTTCAAATTTATTGCCAAAAACTTGTTCAAAGTATTTTCATATTAAGGCCTATAGGATCCATAGTGATCTCCTTATTTTTATTCCTGAGGTTTGTTATTTGTACTTTTCCCCCCCTTTTTTAGCAGTTTATCAGTTAAAAAAAATCTTTTTAAAGAACCAGCTTTTGGTTTTGTTGATCCTCTGTTATATATTTGTTTTTTTGTTTTCTATTTTTTCTCTTCTTGTTTCTACTTCTACATTGACAATTTTTCCCCTACATTCTTGAGCTAGATGCATAGATCATCTTATAATCATGCATTTTAAATATATTCATTTTCGTCTAAGCATGGCTTTAGCTGCATTATATGAACATTGACAAGTTTNGCGCCACTCGGCCGGCCCTAGTGTGATTGGTTTGTAATATGCATTGGGTTCGTAAAGTATTTTGTGAGGAAACAGTAGCTTGAAGTGCCTCAGTTTTGCTTCTGTAAGATGATGGATTCAATTTTGGTAATTTAGGCATGGTATCCTTAAGCCCTATTTCATTGATTTTATGATAGCATGCATTAAATCGTGATTTATTAACTTGAAAAATAAAGATGAAATGAAAGTAAATAATGTAGCAATTTCAATGAGCTCTGGTTTGAGGAGAAATTTTGAGAAAATACGGTGAATCCATTGTTGATCTCATTGGTCTCACGTGTAAAATATGTAGTAATTATGTTGTGGGTTAGTGAGGTAGCCATCAGAGGTTTAATTGTAGCACCTGCCATAAAGAAAACTGTTAGTCATTAAGCTCTTTTGTATTTTAGGAAAACCAGAAGTGTTGTGAACTTTTGAAAGTATTAGATTTAAATTAATCATGATTTGCTATTAATTTGTAAAAGTTTTTTTGACTCTTGGAAAGATAATCACCATTTTATCTCTATATCAGAGTATGCTTTACATATAAGTTAACGAGTACTGTATTTTTAATTACTTATAAGAGCATGAATTTTTGATACATGAACATAACACAGAAATGAATAGATTGACTTAAGTTTTAAGAATAAAATGGCTGAAATAAAGCTGAAATTTTGTTTAAAATGATTTTTTAAACTATTAAATTCTAATGCATTTAAACCATAAATGTTTTTGTATTCTAATTTTAGGCTTTCCTGGGTTCTTCTGTATACAAGTTTGATTTTTCTTATGTCCCTTCTTATGGCAGTCATTGCAACAGCTTCTTCATTATTTCCTCAAAGTAGCTGCGTTGTGATATTTCTACTTTTTTTCCTGTATGGGTTATCATCTGTAAGTATTTTAACTTGAAATAGGAATAAAGAACTGTCAAAATATTTGATAAATATAGCAAAGTTTTATTCTTTGGTTTCCTTATAGTCAATTTCCCAGGAAAGACAGGTTGTTATTAGGTTGCTGATAAATCTTACATATAGCATCATTGTACCTCCATAATTTTAGGAAAGGCACAAAATAGTGTCAAATTTAAATTGAACTTGTCTTTCTGTGATGTATTTCACATACAATTCCTCTGAGTTTATCTTTTGCTATCTTCATATAATCCTGTGTAATTAAGATTGTTCCCTACTGGACTTTTTATTCCTTTGTTTTCATGAAATCCTGACTGTTTCAAATTAATTTATATTACAGGATGATGTTGTGTAAAGATATATCTTTGTAAATGCAGCTCTTTTGGTATTCATTTGGTATATTGGCTAAATGCTGGCTGTTATTGACCAGCCTTTGTTTTAGGTGTTCCAGTTTCTATTCTGATTGGCTTATGTGCCTGTGCTGTACCAGTTAAATATTTTGAGTATCACCCTTGCTCTTTAACATAATACACATATAGCTCATATACTTCTCTATATAATTGCCTGGTTTTTACCTGTTTTTGTTTCTTATCAAATTAAGTTTAAAAGATGGGTTCTCTATTTAAAGGCTTGTTGTTTTGTTTATGTACACATCTAACTGCAGAAATGCATGGCGGTTTATGATTTTTGTAGTGTAGAGGTGATCATGTTTGCCTATTATGTAGATAATATGCAGTTTTTAATATTTGTCAGTTTACATTTTTAAATGTATGTCAGTATTTGTATGAAAATAAAATACCTTACTATAGCATTTAGAAATTAATTGTATTTTAATGAGTGTATTTTCCAATGAAAATAGCATTGTTCTTTCACAAGCAAAATTTAATTTTGTTTTCATACCAGTGTATATGAACAAAACATTAACCTTAATGTTTTTATTTTATAGGTATTTTTTGCGTTAATGCTGACACCTCTTTTTAAAAATTCAAAACATGTGGGAATAGTTGAATTTTTAGTCACTGTGGCTTTTGGATTTGTTGGCCTTTTGATAGTCCAACAGGAAAGTTTTCCCAAATCTTTAGTGTGGATTTTTAGTCCCTTCTGTCAGTGTACTTTTTTGATTGGCATTGCACAGGTAGGTAATATATTTATTTTGCTTTCTCTCCAGTTCTGTTCAGCAAGTTATACTACCATGAGTACTACTTATGATTTGCAAAAATAATACAATAAA